CTTCAATCCCATTTTTGGGGTGCCCCACCGCGGTTTTGGGGTCCCCCATTCCGGTTTTAGGGTACTCACTCCCATTTTTGGGTCCCCAGTCCCATTTTTTGGGGTCCCCACTTTCATTTTTGGGGTCCCCAATCCCATTTTTGGGGTCCCCAATTCCATTTTTGGGTCCCCAATCCCATTTTTGGGGTCCCCAGTCCCAAATTTGGGGTCCCCAATCCCATTTTTGGGGTCCCCACTCCCATTTTCGGGGTCCCCAAACCCATTTTTGGTGCCCCGATCCCATTTTTGCGTCCCCAATCCCATTTTTTGGGTCCCCAATCCCATTTTTTGTGTCCCCAATCCCGTTTTCGGGGTCCCCAATCCCAAATTTGGGGTCCCCAATCCCAAATTTGGAGCCCCCAATCCCATTTTCGGGGTCCCCAATCCCATTTTCGGGTCCTTTATCCCATTTTCGGGGTCCCCAATCCCATTTTCGGGTCCTTTATCCCATTTTCGGGTCCTTTATCCCATTTTCGGGGTCCCCAATCCCATTTTCGGGTCCTTTATCCCATTTTCGGGTCCTTTATCCCGTTTTCGGGGTCCCCGATCCCATTTTTTGTGTCCCCGATCCCATTTTTTGTGTCCCCAATCCCATTTTTTGTGTCCCCGATCCCATTTTCGGGGTCCTTTATCCCATTTTCGGGGTCCTTTATCCCATTTTTTGTGTCCCCGATCCCATTTTCGGGGTCCTTTATCCCATTTTCGGGGTCCCCGATCCCGTTTTCGGGGTCCTTTATCCCATTTTCGGGGTCCCCGATCCCATTTTTTGTGTCCCCAATCCCATTTTTTGTGTCCCCGATCCCATTTTCGGGGTCCCCGATCCCATTTTTTGTGTCCCCGATCCCATTTTCGGGGTCCCCGATCCCATTTTTTGTGTCCCCGATCCCATTTTCGGGGTCTCCAATCCCATTTTCGGGGTCCCGGATCCCATTTTTTGTGTCCCCAATCCCATTTTTTGTGTCCCCGATCCCGTTTTCGGGGTCCCCGATCCCATTTTGGGTTCCTTTATCCCATTTTCGGGGTCCCCACTCCCATTTTCGGGGTCCTTTATCCCATTTTCGGGGTCCCCAATCCCATTTTCGGGGTCTCCAATCCCATTTTCGGGGTCCCCAATCCCATTTTCGGGGTCCCCACTCCCATTTTCGGGGTCCCCGATCCCATTTTCGGGGTCCCCACTCCCGTTTTCGGGGTCCCCAATCCCATTTTCGGGGTCCTTTATCCCATTTTCGGGGTCTCCAATCCCATTTTTTGTGTCCCCACTCCCGTTTTCGGGGTCCCCGATCCCGTTTTCGGGGTCCCCGATCCCCGCGCGGGCTCACCCGGTGCAGCAGGCGCTGCCCGTGCAGGTGTGCCAGCCCGCGCAGGGTCATGGCCAGCAGCGCCCGCACCCGCGCCGGGGGCAGC